CCCCAAGCAAGCTTGAACCGTCCATTTAAAAAATTTACCTTTGATTACTGTGAAGTCTTTTCGAGGCAATCTGTCCATGCCACTTAATTATGCAATTTTATTTTTTTCGATTTCACGCCACTTTCGCAGCAGATTGTCAACGCGTCTATTTACTTTACAGTTTCACTGGCACTTTTCCTTTTAGACAAATTCGATGATTTAAATTAGCCATCTTCTCAATCAAGGAAAACTTCTTCGGAGTACGTTGTTCCGGCATCTCCCGGTCCAATTTTCAAGTTTCTCAACTACTTCCTATGCTTTTAGGCAAGGCAAATATCGGAATTGAAAAATCATTCAAATTCAGTAAAACGTTAAAGTGTTTTGATATGTGGACTGACAGTTACAAAAAAATAGGACAGCCATGAAAAATTGCTTAGAAAGGGGTTAACACCTAATAACGTTGACAAGTGTTTGGAAGAATGACAAAAAATATAGGATCTCAGTTGAGACCTTGAAACGATCTTGAAAATTCCAAATTCAAGGTCACAGTTAGATTGCCGGAGAAAAATTGGACAGCTACTCTTGAGTTTAATTCATTTTAATATTCATGATATCCGAGATTGCCGTTTTGTACGTTTTAAACATTCTGTATATGAGGACATTAAATATAGATTTTCTCTGATAGGTGAGCTTCCAATATAACTTGATGCTAAGGTTTTTTATCATAGGCTTCAAAGTGTGCCTGACGTTTTCAGCCTGATATTAAAATTTCCTCCGACGTATAGGGCATATCTGATTCAAAGTTAAATATGCAAACTTTAAACTTAATTTGAGCAGCCCCATATATTTGACAAACTCTAGCAAATATTATTGGAAAGTTTCTTCTTACCAGTTGTTCTCAATGCTCGAGGAAAATCTGGTAGCTAAGGTAAAAGGAAAATGGCGTCAAGTAGGTTGACTCTCCACTTCCCACGCAACGCCGTAATCAGTTCATAATGCATTATATTCAACACAAGCTAGAGCCTCTGAGAAAAAAGTGATCTACGACCATGTATAACAGAGAAATTAAGTGGATTAAGTCAGTCAAGCAGGCCCACACAGTTTGGTCGCGTTCATATTGGCACCGCGCGAGCGATGAGCGTTGAACGATGCCGCTTGAGCGTTATCAAAAACTGATTCTGACAGCAGATTTTAAATGGAAACGTTCATATTGACGAGCGGGGTCTGGCGACGTGGCGCATTGAAAGGCATCGCACCACTCGAGCTTCGTTCTTGTTCGTTTTTACAATTAACAATGACGTCCCAGACTGAAAGCATCGATGAAATATAATCAAACGTTTCCACTGCCATCCTTAAAAACTGGAAAAAACGTACTGGATCACCGCGAAGTTGATTATAGAGGTGATGATATTCGCCATAAGCTACTTTTTTTTATTAAGTTCATGAACGCCTTGTCCCTTTTTAACATAAGTAACAACCGCTTTGTTACCGAACTCATCAAATCTAATTCGAGACAATATCGCTGTACCAACTGAACCTTCCTTTATAAAGTTAGGTGTTTCGTGTCAGTCACATTCCTCCTGAAATTGTGATGTGAGCGCCATTTGCTTAATCTCCAGATTCTTAGGTATTAGGTGCCGAACACCAGTTTGTGGTGTAGTACCCCTTCATATAGTACCTTACGTTTAGTTGTCTTGGTTTGGATGCTACCCCTTCCACCTTCTTATGCGATTTTAATCTTCAGCGTGGGAGACATTGCGGAGAACCACCAGATACTCCTCCAGCTTTGCTTGTAGCTGTTTTGCAGCTGGTATTGCCGTAAGTCACCCCTTCTCCTTAGCAGGACAACGCGCACGATGATAACGCTCAAGCGGCATCGCTCAAAGCTCGTCGTTCGAGCGGTGCCAATATGAACGCGTACGCGACCTTAGTCCATAGACATTCTCACCCTGCCCAACTGGCAGTACCGTCCATCTAGCAATGCTGCGCCAGGAGAAGCGGAGACGCGTATAGGAAACGTTTCTCTATCATTCACGTTTTAAGGGCAAATGTACGGGAAAGTTTATGATGTGTGAAATATATCATACATTAAGAAATTGACATATATCTACCCTTCTACACCTCCTACAACCTTTAACCCACAATTTTCAACCAATAATCTGGCAGGCATTGAGACACACAGGCAGATCGATGGGAATGAGTGACATGGTTTTTCGTGATGTACATGTCATATAACATCCAAAAAAGATAATATCTCGATTTCTTCTATCTTATATTTTCGAAGAGCTTCGCGATTACAATACATCCTCACCAGTGGCGTAGATAGTGAAAGATCGAAGGTTAATGTGTAATGTGTAAGTTGTCGGTAGTTCTGATATTTTATTTTCATAATTTTCTACTGTTCCGTATCAGTGCTCTATTTTGAAGTTATGTTACAAATATCTGTTTGCATTAAATTGTTCATGTTTTTGATTTCTATCATCAGTTTTATCAGCCTGAAAGCTCCTACAATTCACAAAGAAAACATGACATCACAATAGGAGAGCACTGATGTTGATACGGAACAGTGGAAGTACCCCAACCTTTCTGAATGAGAGAAAGGACTTTGAAAATCACTGAGGCCATAAAGGGGTGCTGCAATTGTACTAACGACTGTCGATACGGCATTTAAAGGCCCAAAAAAGTTAGTCATAGAAACTGTAAGCAACTTTACGGTCCTTGGAAAATATGCCGCTCTCCACAGAGCGATTAATAATTACATGGCAACACAAACAGCAGCTGCGAAGAATGCCTGATAGGAGTGTTTTTCCGTTTACTGCCACCATTACAAATTTATTTTAAAGCTTTTACTTAAAAAAAAATGGTCATCAATACTTCGTAGCTTCTTTTTGGAGATTCTCCTTTATATAATTGGGTCACAAAAACTACACTATTATAATTTTTACGATTGCAAAGCATTTCTGCAGAATATCTGCCACTAGTAGAGTATGACGGCCGTTTTTGACACTGACAGGAGAGTTTCGTAGCAGATTGTTATCTAAGCTATGATATTAGAATAACATTGATGTTTTTTCCTTAATCAGCCTCATGACAGGGATATACTATTTAAGAACATATGTTTATAAGAAGTTTTACTTCCAACACCACTGTAATCGCAAAAGATTTCTTAAATGGTATATCATGGTCACTCTTTGTTCTTTTATGTTTCTATGGACTAATTGTGCTGAACATAATCCTTTACGAACTGATGACAGCGTTGCGTGGGAAATGCTGAGTCAATCTACTTGACCCGATTTTGTTTTGAAATGAAACTCATGTCCTTCAATGCCCTAAGCTCTTCAATCATCCTGAATATATGGAATACTTTTCCAGGGCTATTTGCTCCAGTATCGCTTGAGTAATGACATCTGCAAGTAATTTGTCATCTCGAAAAGGTAATTAATTCGAAAGGAGACGTTAGAAGCTCCTCGAAATAAACTTTTAACTTATCCTGCCGGAGGCAATAATTGTTGCAATATATTACCAGTTGTTGCGAAAGAGCACAAAAGTATGATAAATCTATCTTCGAAACTATTTCTGTCGTTTTATTGTCCGTATTTTTGCACAACCGCCAAGTGTTAATAGCGAAAAATGCTTTTTGAATTGATTGGATTCTGATAGAAGAATGTAACCCTTTCCTTTTCCCAGTACAAAAGAGTCAATTAGGGCTCGGTTTGAATTGAAACATTGTACTACCAATAGGAAACAATGCCGTAATTTAGCCCCTTCCCCTGAAATGGATCTCTAGCCTCATATTTCTTATGAAATTGGTTCATTTAGATATTTGGTTAAAATGTTATTGGATATACAAGTTTCTATTTAGTTTGGTACTTCTCCAACGGCTATAGCTATCGATGCCATTCGGAATAAGAAGGTGAGATTATGTCTTTCGGAATGAAAAGATGAGATGAAAAAAGGCAGGGAGCAGGAAAAGAAACATACGAATGTGATTTGTAACGCTATGGAATTACAAATATGCATCTGTTTACGCCCTAGTAACTGGAACACTGCGCAACAATGAGGCACTCTTGTAACGCCCACGCTTAGGCAACCATATTTAAGCACGTCACGGACATTCGTCACGCGCTGGGAAACATCGACCGCCAGCAAGCTTCAAGGAGAACTGTCTGGAAGGCTTCTGGAATTCGCCGAATCAAAGATGAATACACGTGCAGAGGGCAGGCAGTAGACCAACAACGGATGATGAGTCAGCAGCGCGGAATACCATAGTTCAGTCAATAGCCATAAATGTGCAATAAATGGGTGCAAATGTGGTAATCAATGAATGTGAGAGTAGTAAATTAGATTTTAAATATTAAAAACGGTGTTTTCGTTACGATATATTCTGAATGCTTGGTTACGAATAAAATTTTAGTTGATGTTAACATTGGCTTTGTCACCTCTTTCTTAAATCAGGTATATGTTAGGTTTTGGAAACTACGTTTTTTTAATAGTACAATTTTTGAAGGCTTATAGTGAATGAAGACAAGGTAAACGTTTATAGACACTTATTTTCTTGTTTGCGTTCCGTCATCTGTGCCCAAATGAATAGATCTATACCGTACTGATGATTCCTAAAACGTATTTAGACGATCGATTATGGTGGTGGCGGAGAGGGATCAAACAGAAACAGAATAGTCTGTGTTTAGTTTATGAAACTTTTGCATAGGATGTTAATGCTGGTAGCACTGTGACTACTTAGTACTCTCCTGAGCGGCAATGGGATATTATGGATTTCTTTGCATGGCTTCACATAAACGACATTCTGGATCTTAGATTCCGGGGAACTTTGGCTTCTGCTGCAATACATACGTTCGGTAGTACCGCGATTTTCAACTAAATTAACTATTCCCCACATTTACTACAACCATCAACAAAATGAGGGTCCAGATTTGATGCAGTATGTCTTATCATTGGTGCAGTATGACCTCAATTGAAAGGAAAAAAAGTGCCGCTAAATATTTTTTTTAGCAGAAGCAAACTCATGGGCGCCCAAAGAACGGTGCCAGTGGGGGTGGTCTCCTAAGAATCCGGTTGACCCTTAAAATTTGCATATCGGGCATAATTTCTTGGACTTGGCATTCCCCTGAGGAAACATTTGTTACCCCCGCGCAGGTGATCACCCCCCCTGAAAAAAATTCCTACGCGCGTCAATGAGCGTGCTCAAGTCTAGGTGGTGACATTTAGGATTCTACTTTACCCATACTCACCATTTTTCTTATAAAAAATAACTTCCAGCTTGAGCTCATTCTTGGACTCCAAGGCCTTGTCGATCTGCGTCTTGTGCTCCTCCTTGGTCTCAGGGCCGTAGAGGAATTTGCAGGCGCATCCCTTCTGCATGATCTGCGCCCTGCTGAATCCTGTCAGCTCACAGAACCCATCTGAGCAGTACACAATCGGGTACAGGGAGGGTACTTGTGCATTGCCCAGCACGAAGTTACTGTCTGCAAAAGAGATATTCTGAATAATTATAATTGACCTTTTTTTGTTTACCAAACCAGCCGGTGCACCGCAGCTGCTATAAGGAGCTTAAAGAAACTTTGCTAACACGGTTTTAGAACTGCTTAAGGTTAGGAGAACTGGGTAAAGCCTTCTCAGGTAGATTGTTCCACAATCTCGATACCCCAGGGACAAAAGAACGTTACCGGTCAGTTCTAGATGTACGAAGTTCGACACGGTTAGGATAGGAGGCCGAAGCCATGGTCCATGTCTAGCAGGCTCATCGCGCAGCTGCATCATTAAGGAGAACTCTGAAGAGCAAAACCCACTGAAATAGCGAGAGCTAGATCGGTTGCGGTCCGCAGGTACGAAAGGGTCCCGAGACTGTTCTTTAGAGAAACGTTACCGATTAGTTGACAGCCCCTCTCTGAACCGGATAAAGTATGGATGATGTAGACGTGGTGGCAGCACCCCAAACGTGTGAGCAGTATTCGAGGATGATAATAATAGTAATAGTAATGGCTTATTGGTGTTATTATAGATACACACACGTATATGGTTAAAACGGTGACAATAAAAGATAAAATATAACAAACTACATCCAATAAATAAATAAATGACATAAGAGATAAAACTATAATAAATAATATGATTTTAAGAAACAGGAAAAAAAGAAAATATAGCATGAAATATCATAACTTATTGAGTATCCGTGAATAATTTTTGGTAGAGGAGCCTGCCAATGGTGAAAAAACTGCAGACAAGAGCAAATTTTTCACAGCATTACTAAATTCATTGTATGATTTCTATTCCTAAGGACAGATTTTATAAAAGGTTTATCTGGGCTTTGTACAGAGTAAGAAGGTTATGTGGAAAAAATAGTTTTTTCCCAGCAGCTGCTGTGTTCGTGCCAGATCAAGTCGTCGGTGACCAGCCGAAATGAATGTATTTTTGGTAGACCTTGGCCAACCATGGAAACCCGATGAGCGCTAGGACGCTTCTTGTTATTCAAGGTGCAGTACTGTCTATATAGAGAAAGAGAGAGAGAGAGATGTTCGCCTTTTTCTCAGAGGGGCTAACTTGTGACTTACATAATCCTTTATGAAGTTATGGCAGGGTTGCGCGGGAAGTGCAGAGCCAACCTACTTGACGCCAAGTGCGAAAAGGATAGTGTCTTCGATTACCTGCAGTCAACTAAAACTACAACAGTATCATTGTAATCTTCTCGATAAGTTGGCTGTAGAAATTCGAGGAAAAGTTTCAGGTTTACAGAAAGCAAAAATCATTTTCCATCGGGACTATGTTGCTGCTCAGAGGTGCACTCTAACAGTCGCAAAAATAACGTTTCAAGTTGCTTGGAAACCCACACTATTTACCAGATTTACCAAGTGAAGAAGTCAGGACATCAGTAAAAAATGTTTCCAACGAAAAGGGGATTCCGTTGGATAATAAACTTATTTAATGATATCTAATAATCTTTTAGATTCGGACTCGGCCACCTCAAAACATCTACATACAAGTATTGTAAATTCAATTTCTCGACATTTTCTTACTTTAACCTAGAAATGACCTTGAAGCGTCCTTCATGATACGTACCAACTGACCTAGTGTTGCCAGGTGCAGTTGATCATATTCGGGCAAAAATAAACTACAGCACCAGCTAACTAAAAATAATACATGCTTTAACAAATTCCAAAAAAGTGTTTAAAATAAAAAATTAATATGTAAACCATATTTTTTGATATCACTTGAGTTAGTCAGTACTCTGACTCATTTTGCTATACTTTTCTTTGTCATATTACTTTACATATTCCTTATTTACTTTAAAAGTGAGACACTTTACTATTATTAGTTATTTGCCTTTTGCTGATTTCGTATCCGTATTTAGACGGTACCTTATACTGCTTTCCATTAGATTTATTTGTTGAAATACTCTCACAAACTGAGCTGGTAATCTGGTTAAAACTTTAAACATATACGTATCATCTCAATATTTCAAATGGGCAAAGGAGCTCCAGAATAAAAACAATTTGGAAAATTGTTCAATTTCTTTGGTATTCCGTAGTAAGCTCCACTCTGTATCCAGAGAATCTATATCCTGTTCACTTATCAAATTTGGAAAAAGTCGTCTATTGACAGGTTAGATCCAGATTCTACGTCAGCTGGATCTATGAAACATAATTTATCTATGGATTATTCTAATAATGTTTTGCTACTTCTATATAGGGGAGATGTTATTCAATTGAGGAAAAGTTCAATTTTTTTGTAGATTTTGCATTACAATCGGTAGTTCTGTAGACCAGGATCAAAATCGGTCAACCTGGTAACATGGAATTGATCTCAGATTTGGACTTAGCGACCGCAAAAACTTACATACGGGTCTAGTAGATTTGATTTTCCGACATTTACTCAATTTGCCCTTGAAATCACCTCAAAGCTCCCGTCGAATGACCTGATACGGAAAAACTGATTCCAAATTTGGACTTAGCGACCCTAAAGACCTACAACCATGACAGATGCCTGATACCTGACTGCTTACTCAGTTAACTTGAAAAGTTCACTTAAATATGACCTTGAACTGACATTCACCCTGGCCAAGAGAAAGTTCCGTTGGGAGCCAAATATATAGTAGGCCTTATGGGCCTCCCTCCTTTCATTTAGCCAGAAGATCATGGCGTCCTGTAAGTACTGACTGCATTTGATGTGATAGCATCTCCTACGTCATTCGCATTTAAGCAATTGAAATCTGCATAGCAATAGGACCACAAAGCAATTAGCATAGAAACGCCAGAACATTTGAAAGAGCCTCGAGTCGCTTGTGATTATTGTGAAACCGCGTTGGTTAGCTGTATTGTAGAATGTGTAGGAAACACGTGTGGCAACGTGGTGACGTGATCTCGGTAGCTGCACTGATTGCCTTCAGCTAACAGCCTCTGTCTGGTCGTGAACCCACGTCGATCAGAAGCTGCAGTAGCTAATTAGGTGTGATAATGCAGCTGGGTAACGCAACCGTAAGAAAATTAACGGTTACGAGCTATTGTCGCGAGATAACCTTAATGAGATTGTGGATGTATAGACGAGGTGATCAAGCAGCATTACGTGTAACTACCACTACGATCAATATTTTAGGGAATATTTTTACCAAAAGCAACCTGTCTGCAACCCAGCCAGATCGCCGAACGCCCGTCGGTGCGCAAGGGTCTCGAGACTGTCCGCATTCCAGTTGATTTTGGCATAAAGTGCATTGCATAACGTTGGGATGAATTAAAGAACTTGACTTCTGTTCCTCTAGATACTCTAGAAGATTTTAAAACTACTGAGTTTTGTTTAAATACATGTTTTAAGCTTGAGAATGACTGCTTTTCCCAGATTTTTGGGGCTACAATTGCAAACTTGGTTATAGTAGAACTGGAAAATACCGTCCTTAATAATTTGTCAGTCAAACTAATTTTTTCGTATAAGGTATGTAGATGAGTGTCTACTCTGCATACATAAAAATCACATCAAAAGCATGTTTAATCAGTCTAATAATTTCCATCCAAGACTGCAGTTCACAAAAGAAATTCAAACTGACAGAAAGATCAACTTCCTCTATATAAATGTTCAATATAACAATGTGGGTCATGTTATAATGATTCGGTATGGTGGAAACGTGTGGTCAAGAAGGAATTTGAATTACGATGTCAATGTTCCGAATACCTACAAAAAAGATGTTATTAAGCAACCTTAAAAAAGTGAGAGTGATTCTCTCCTAGAACTTTTGTTGATGCCATCATAAAGATGAGAGTACACCAAATATGTAATAAAAAAACAACACTCAGACGAGCAGAACAAAAAAAATTATAATTGCCTTATGTCGCCGGTCTATCTGAAAATATAAATAAAGTACATAAGCCTGTTGCAACAACTAATACATATTATCATCATAATAATAATACTTACTGGTGGAAGCATCTACATTATCTACAGACACTATCACTTAAAAAAATTAAACTAAATATCCGAATTTAATGACAGAACTGTCAAAAATGACGTAAGTCAAGTGGACTTTGATCCTCACTTCAGTCTATAAGAGTTAGGGGACAAACGAATGCTTAATTGGCTACTAGCTACCTAGTCTGAATTCGTCGGTTGCGATGATATACATGAAATGTGTTGTGACTATTTTGGTAAGCTGTGAGCTTAACCTATCAGCGTGATGTAGTTGGTAGATTCTTTAAGACTACACGGAATGGTTATCTCTGGTTTATTCTTGTAGTTGTCACCTTTATATAAAGTACGAAAACTTTTGTGTATTGGTATCAACATTTTAAATAACGAATGGTACTACCGGCACAGATTACAGTCATTATGTCAGAAGTTTTATAAAGTATGTCTTAAGGCAAAGTTCTGCCCACCTAAGCCAACAAGCTTAAGTCACCGAACTGGGCAAACTAATTAAATGCGACTATGTTCTTGGCGGGTAAGACTACCAGTATCCCTTTATACTCGTATATCTCCATCTCCCTCATACATACACATGCAACCTGCCCCTGTGTGTGTACGTTTGTTCGGTAAGCTCAAAGACAGACGTTTTTTAGTTATGTTTCCGCCTCGAAAACTTTGTCGTTACGTATGAGTGCCCTTCAATCATATTTGTCAGAGTGACAACCTTTTGACATCGGCGTGCAATCTGAGTTGACCTGTTATCAGTCTTCAATATAAAATTGTACAATGCCCAGAACTACGATCAATGGAGAAGGACGACAGCTCGTGCTAAATTTATTAGAGTATTTCCAGGAGAAGAATGAAAACAGTAAGTAGCCCCTGTTACCCACTTCATGCGTACTAGAGAGAGTAGCAGATGTACTGAACCTTAAGATCCGCTCGTGGTACGGAAGCTGTTAACTTATTTCGTACGGCGTTGATGACGTAACCGCGAAGAACGGTGACTACAACTTTAGCTTCCCTACAAAAAATGCATAATAATTATGTTAGTGTTTTCTGTATTGTTTCAGATCATCAA